CAATATTTTAATATCATATCCATTTAATCATCATATCCAATTAATCACCCATCATATCCAAGTAATCCAAAAAAGTGTTAATACCTATCCAAATACTAAAAAATTAAGTTTTTTATTTTACTGAATTCACCTCTGCAAAGCCATGTCAACCTACTTTAGTAGGAGACTACTAATTTTTTAAGAAAAGCTCAACAAAAATAAATAAATTTAAAAATATTCACAAATAGACAAGAAATTGAACTTAACCATAATGCGACTAACTGTTAGGCAAATATGTAATACGTATTTTAGTGTCTGCTTAATGAGAAATTGACTCCCCGGCACAGTGGGTCAAAATGCCCATTTTTGTGCCAAAATTTTTTTTTTATGAAATTGATTTAAATAACATACTTTGAGCTTCTTAATATATTTGTGACTAAATAAAAAAAAAATTTTATTGTTTTTTTTTTAATAATTAAAAATACAGCAAAAAAATAAAAAAAATATGCAGTTTTTCAATTCAAACAAAATCCACAGAATAAACATAAAAAAATTACAGTATAATTTTTTTGATAGGCATACAGTTTTATGAAAAAATACTTTCTTGTCTTATCAACTCATTTAACTCATACAACAAAAGGCAGCCATCAATGTCTGCATATATTTAAATGAAGTATTTACAAATTTACAATGTTATCTCCTGCTAATAACAACTCCAAAACCTCAACAGGAAAGTCTTTCTTTTTTGAAGTGCAGGTTTGCCTCAATGATGCTATGACAGGATCAGATGAGCATAGAAATCTTTTCAAAATGTCCTCATTTGCCATATATCTTGAAGCTTTTCGAGCATGACGTTCACGAAACCGTTTAAAATATTTGTTGGTTGACTCCTGTGCTTCTTCACTCATCATACCAATTGGAAGTGACATTTTATCAATTATCGCTGGGCCATGGATCAGCAGTTTGTAGAGGCTTTGCGGCATGTAGTATCATGGGTACAGCTTCACAAACAACTTTGCAGTTTTTGTACATATCACGGTAAACTTTTCAGTATTTATTTGATAGCCACTTGATATGGTTGACAAAATAATGTGCAATTTTAAAATTAGTTCCTTATTGATACCTGTTATATTTGCAAAAGAAATGGCATCAGTAAATGCTCTTCGAGAAGTGTTGCCATCATTAGATGTACCAGATCCTCCAGACTTTGGTTGATCAACAACAAGGCCCATCTGATGAAGAAAAGCTTTTTGAATGTGAGACTTTGTGTCAGCAACTTTTGCTTTGTCTTCTGCTGTTCTTGCTTGCCACTTTTTGATGGGCAATTTGTAACCAATATGCAGAAAACATTCAAAACATCTAATCCAGCAATGCAGTGTAGATAAATCATACTGCAAGCCTTTTGCCTGGTAATTTCTTACTATGCTGGCATCAATGTTGTTCATCTCTTTTGGTGAGCATCCACAGATAGAACAACACTGACTTGAGCCTTAGATAAAGCTGTGTGTACTTTTCCATCAATCATTGTTATTTCAATCACATGCTTTACTTGAAGTTCTTTGCCGTTGTTTGATATAATTTTTGTGCAATTTAAATTCCTAATTTCTTCTTTTAGTTGAGCTTCTTCAGAGATTAATACTTGTTTAGACTCATTTTCAAACTGAAAACGCAATGGGCGACAATACAGAGTTGATGATGGTTTTGGGTTTCGCCACAAAGTTGTCTTTTTTCCACCAGCAAATGTGCTCAAGTCAAGTGGTACAATGCATGTTAAAAACAAAGACTCTTCTATTTTTATATTACGGATACCACTTTCAGACACTGTTTGCTTATAAACACTTTGTACTGTTGAGCCATCAAATCCTGCTTTGTGTCTTAATGAAGCAAATATGGTTGTATCACTAGCAACTGTTTCAATAACTTCATTCTGTACTTGACATAGTCTTTGTGCAGTGTGGTCTACCAAGCTCTGCACTGAGATTTTAGCAAAATAATCAGCTATCTCTATTTCATTTGGATAGCAAGATAATTTTGCTGCCTTTATTATGTGATATGAAAGATAAAGTTCACAGTTTTTTCTCATAGCAACATTTCGATGTAGTTGATAGCCATCTTTGGTCATATTTGTATCTAAAAGTAAAGCTAGAGCCTCATTGCCAGATAGTTGTTGAGATAGTTGTTGAGACTTTTTTACTACTGTCAAAAATATTCTTTACTGCATGTAACTCATCAAGTTTATTTTCTTTTTTAAGAGTAACTTTTGCCGCAAAAAGTAGTTCATTGGATGAATGCCCTTGTTGTAGAGAGTTGGTACGCCTGTACTTTGTTCGAAGTGAACAGTCATCAAAATTCTCAATTGAAGGCCTGCCACGAGTACCTTGTTTCACAGGAACATGAGTAAAAATATCAATCTCTGACTGTAGCCACTCTTTGTGTTTTTTTTCAAAACAAATACGGTTACCTTTTAAGTCCTGCCATTTTTTTCTCATGTGAATTAGCAATGTTTCCAGCTTAGGGTTAGGATTTACCAAATTCCTGCCATTGATAACATCCTTTAAAACACCATGGTCAGAGATTTGTAATTTATTTTCTAGTATGTAGGTATATATATCAATGTATTTCATTTTATCCTATAAATTCAAAAATATACTCATTAGAAATCATTTTATCCTATAAATTCAAAAATATACTCATTAGAAATCATTTAAATGAAAGTATATTAGGTTTAAAGATGAAGTTTTTTATTTTAATTAAAAAAACCAAGTGATTAATTAAAAATTAATTTATTAAAAATCCTGTGATTTATTTGTCGCGGACAAAATTTTTGTTATACCTTGCTATCTATAAGTTAATTTGTAGACAAGGTGGTACTTTGTTGAAGCTAATACTAACTTTAAATTATAATATGTATAGTAAGTAAGGATTTTAATGCATTTTCAGACTGGAGGATAATGGAGGATTTTTTAATTAAATAAAGTAAGTAAAAATTTACACTAAAATAACCTGTAAAAACATATCATCTTAAAAATAAAATAAAATTTCTAACTTACAAGAAAAACCAAAATTTTTCTTGTAAGTTAGAAATTTTCTTTTTTAAAACCAAATAACTTCGCTGCACAAAAAATGTGCAGCGAAGTTATTTGGTTTTAAAAAAGATCAATCTATCAATGTATAAAAAAATTATAGCGCAAATAATTTAAATTAAAAAGTAGTTTACAGTTTCTGTGTAGCAACACATTTATTTTATTTATTTTCATTTAAAAACTTACTAATCTAAATAAAAAATTTAACTTTAACAAGCCATAAAAAATTTAATATAAAAGCTAGTGGCTAAAAAATATCATTTTTTAAAAGCTTGATAAGTATGGAGAACTACTATTACCAATAAACCTACGTTGAACATAATTTGTTTTTTTTAATTTTGGCACACCTTGACCCACTGTACCCGGGCTTCATTTCATAGCAAAATTTTTTACCGTAGGCTAGAGTTTATGTAAAATTGTGGTCAATAGATATAATTAGTAGACTGGTAAGCCGCTCTTAAGTCATTGTAAATCTTAGCGCTGTCTTTAATAGAACAAACTTACTGAATTACTACTTTCCTTTAGTAACGGTAACAGGAACTGTATTGAAAATGCAAAGCAAAATGCACATTATTTAAAGAGAGACTGTAAACCTTTTTAGTAGATCCCATTCAATAGTTTCATTGAAGTGAAAAACTAATTTAGACCAAAAAGCTTGGCGTGCTTCAGAGTATCTAACTTCTCCAATAAATTTCTTTTTATCACCATCGTTCACATAGATATGCGCTAAAGTTTTGCATTTCTCCTATTTGATAAAAAGTCTTTTCAGCCAAAACTTTTTATCGAATAGGGTTTCACTAAAAAGATTAAAATATTTCTTCATTTCAACGGAAGATTCAGTGGAATCAACACTGGAAAATATAAGGTTATGAAGGCTGTATAGCGCGTAAAAAACTTAATTATCTCTCTGAAGTATAATTGTTTGTACTCGTATGGTCACGTCAGACATGTTGGCTCCGTTGCCGTACCCTTAACTTCCGCAGCTTTTTAAAACGCTGTCATTTTAATACAAGACGTTCATAATTACTTTGGCAATAACCTTTTTTTTTTTGAGAGTCTTGAACCTGATAAAAGGCTTCTTAATAACCCATTTTTTATTAACACCATAGTAGACAAACCATAAAAGGTGATTTGCTCAGTATAGGAGATTTCAGGTGTTCCATCAAAGAAAATGAAATACATTATAGCTAAAAGAGCTTCTTTAATGATAACACCGTGAAATTCATTTTAAGAACTCCAACTAAAATGATAAAAATTAGTTTTATATTCTTGTTGGCAGCGACTTTTTCCAAGTGTAAATGAAAAAGTTGGTTTTTCTGCCATGAAAGTCAGAATATTTTTTCTTAAATATCAACATTTTTTGGTTTGTACGTTGTAAAGAGAAACTACGAACAATCAATACCTTTTTTGATACTCTGTTATATATAGTATTATAATTATTTTTACTAACTTTGTTAGAGTAATCCTAAAAAAATTTAATCTTGAATGCAAAAAATTTATGTAGCCATTTTTATGATATTTAGAAAATTCATGTATATATATATATATATATATATATATATATATATATAAATATATATATAATAATATATATATATATATATATATATATATATATATATATATATATATATATATATATATATATATATATATATATATATATATATATATATATATATAATGTATTATAATTATTTTATAAATAAAGCCTTTATAAATATTTTTCATGCCACTGCATTGACTAGTCTCAGACTCCCGCCTATAAACTTGGCTAATGCTGTATTTTTGACATATGAACTACTGTCATCTAGTAAATAGTGGGTTAATCGGGTAATCAAATAACTTAAGTTTTAATATAAGGAGTCTAACAAGCAAAATTATAAATGACTTATTGATCTATTTAAATAGAGTAAAAAAAAATATATGTATACATACATCTGTGTGTGTTCTTACTTTTGTCATCATTTTTGAATTGTTATATATTCAACTTTATTTGCAAAACCGATTTTGCGTTCTTCATACAAAATAAGCAATTTAAGATTGGAGTTGTTTTTATCGTCACCATACACCACGCTTCAAAGTTGCTCTTTTATCTAAAATATTTGAAAATTTTTATGCAAGCTTTCATGCATTTTCTATCAATATCTATGTAAGAAAATAATAGATGTAATACGTGGACGTAATATATTGACAAAAAAGAAATTATGTGAATATCATTAAATATATTTTACCAAATAGCCTTTTTAGTTATAGTGCTGAAAAACAATCTGGAATAGGTTGTGCCCCAGTGGGCACAGTACCAAAAAAATACGTCTTTTGAACGTTAAAAAGATGTCCAAAACGTTCGAAAGACGTTCAAAACGTTTAAAAGACGTTCAAAAGACGTCTTTATTATGTCCCGTGCCCACAGGGGCTTTGCGACGTGATAAAAGTTGTGTGATGTAATAAATCTATAACTATTTGATGAGTTCAAATAGTTATGGGTTTATTACAAATGAATATAACATAAAATGTAAATACATAAAAAAAAATCTGTAAAAAATGTATAGAGAGTTAACTCAATTCTTTTAAATTTCTCTAGTTGCAAAAGTAAAAAAAAGGGATATAAGTAGGGCTTCCAAAAAGTCCAAGACTAGAAAAAGCTCTCTCAACTTCTACGGATGAAGGAGAAATTATTTGAAGAGATTTGAAAAGAAATTCTAAATACTTGGACCTAGCTTTGCTAGCTTCTAAAACAGCCATTTCCTTTTGAACAATGTTTGTTCCAATTTCCTGATTGTCAAGTTTTATTTGATTGTCTGGTCGTTCAATAAAAAGTTTGAGTTTATAAAAATGACCAAGTTAGTCATTTTTATTTAAAACTTTTGGATTTGACAACTACTTCATGAGATAAATTAGAAAAATGTTTCTTCTTTTATTTATTCTATATTCAAATATCTGTTTAACAAGTTAAGTTATAGATTTATTAGCATAAAGTTTTTTCCTTTCAATTATATTTGGTTGAAATTCATCATCATTGCTTACTGGTGATCTACAAAACTTTTTAACCAATTTTCCTAATATTTTCACAGTTTACTAATATTTATTATTAAGAAGCTGTGATAATATTCGTATCAGTAAAACTTATATTTGCTCGTCGAAGCTATGGTAACTCGTCTTTTTTTTTGTTTTTTTTTTGTTCAGAAATTTTAACAATCTATTTTTTGGGTATCACCATGGGATTTCTTTAACAAGTTAAAATATACAATGCACTTCGCTATTTTTAATTTAAAACTTAAAAGTAACGTTCTAAATCATTTGTTACATATATTTCTTTGTGACTTAAACTTTAAAAGCGTTGCTTAAGAAAAAAAGTTTTGCATAACAAAAATTAAGAGTAACTAAAATTGTCTAAAAGAGTCATAGTTTAAAAAAGATTTTGAAAAATGATAAAAAAGAATCTAGTTTTGAAATATAAAATTTCGAACTTTTAGAGAAAAAAAGTTCGATCTGGAACTTCTTAAAAAATAACAAAAGTTCGAACGTTCGAACCTGAATATGTTCGAACTGGAAGGCCTAAAGCAAAGATTTGCATTAGAACATGAATATATTTAAACCTGAATATGTTCAAACTGGAAGGCCTAGATATAAGCGGTTAAAGCTAATTTTAAAGTAATAATTATAAAAAAGTAATTCATCGTAAAAAAAAGCCATCTAAATCTCTTTGGCTAAAAAAATATTAATAATATTTATATAATATTACATTATATTACATTCATATAATTTACATAATACATTATATATAATTCACATAATATATTATATATAATAATTATATATATATATATATATATATATATATATATATATATATATATATATATATATATATATATATATATATATATATATATATATATATATATATATATATATATATATATATATATATATATATATATATATATATATATATATATATATATATATATCCCGGTGGGAAATCGGCTAGCAAATAGGTAGCTATAATCGTAACGATAAAGACAGCAATTTGGCCACGAGGATCGCTAGCTTTTTTAAGTTAGCGAAAAGCTATCGATATTTGTAAAGATAAAGACAGGCATTTGGCTAAGAGGAGAGCCAACTTAATAAACTAAAGACCCACTGGCTATTGTAGCTAGCGTCATACTGTAATAAAGCCGTTGTCTAAAAAAAAATGATATGTAGCTATCAACGAGCCATAGATTTGTAGATATTTTGAAGCTAGCTACAAAATAATAATAGCAAAGCTACGATATGTAGCTAGCGATACATTGCTACAAAATCGCAATGTTTACAGTTCAATTATCCTCATAGTTATAAGATTCAACACTAAAATTCGAATTTTTAAAGATGTAAAAGACATTAGGAGTGGAATGCAAGAAGCAAACTTGAGTCAAGTTCGACTTGAACTTTACTTTGTAACCAATAGCGGCAGAGTATTTTTTAAGGGGAAAACCCATACTCTGTCGCTATTGGTTGCAATGAAAAGTTCAAGTCGAGCTTGATTCAAGTTCGCTTCTTGCATTCCACCGTAGGAAATAATAAAATAGGAAAAAAAAATCGCTAGAAAATCGCTATAAAGCAAGCTGGTCGCTCGCTAGTCGCTAACTCATTTCTCACCGGGATATATATATATATATATATATATATATATATATATATATATATATATATATATATATATATATATATATATTATATATATATATATATATATATATATATATATATATATATATATATATATATATATTATATATATATATATATATATATATATATATATATATACATATATATTTATATATATATATATATATATATATATATATATATACATATATATATACATATATGTATATATATATATATATATATATATATATATATATATATATATATATATATATATATATATATATATATATATATATATATTTGTTCTGTAGGGATACTCGCTTAGATTTTTTGTATTGCCAAAAATTCTAAGCCAGTATTTCAGCTAAGCAACTATTATTTTAAAAGTAACAAGAAGATGTTTCTGAAAAACAATCGGTTTTTTAAATTAAATTTTATTAAATATAAATTTGTAACAATCACTTTAGATTAAAAATAGGTTATAAATATAGGGTAAACCTTATCATAATTATTACGCTTTGCTTTAGAGACTCGAAGAAGATTTTATGCTTTCATAATAGAACACGGTCAAATATAAAATATGATCTCATAATGGAACACGGCCAAATATAAAATATGTTCTCATAATGGAAAACGGTCAAGTATAAAATATGCTCTCATAATAGAACACGGTCAAATATAAAAACCTTTTACAAGTTTTTTATTGCTCACTCATTAAGCTATTTATTTTGTTCATACTTGTTTCTGAATCTCTACTCGAACATCCAAAAAATTTTCATACTACTATTTTTTAGTTAATTACTTTAGTTTTAGTTACAAATTTATTACGTCGAGTTTTATGATTACAGATTAAAAAACATTTTATAAAAGATTATTTAAAACGCAGTTAGCATGTGGTAATTATTTATCAACTTTATAGAATAATTACCACCTTGTGGTAATTATTTATCAACTTTATAGAATAGATAACAAAAATTTTCTTACCTTATAAAATAGAAAACCTTATAGAATCTTTCAGAATAAAAAACAAACAAACCGTTTATACGCACGACCTTTTGCACAAATACAACATTTTTTTCATTATCAAGATATTAAGTCTTTAATAAGTTGTACTTAAATATAAGTACTTTTGTATAAAACTTAATAAGTACCTTTGTTAACTGCAAATCTTTGCACGTTTATAATTAAAATGTTAGGCGAAAAAAAAAAAAAATAATAATAATCTATTATTTTATAAACGTTTTTTAATAGATACGTTTTATATATTCCATAAATGTTTTTAAATTAAATGTTCGTTATATTTTCATTTTATTTTAGTCACTAGCGTTATAGTAAAAGTTTAAATTTATAACTTTTAATAAAAGTTATAAATTTAAACAGTTTATTGGAATAGAAAAATGTCTTGTTATGTCTTATTGGAATAGAAAAATGTCTTGTTATGTTTATATAAATATTCTTTTTACATAATGAAAATTTTCAAAGCAAAATATGTACAATACTTTATTTCAAAACAAAATATGTACTATACTAAATACAATACAGAAAAAATCTTTGCGCATCATTTACAAAGTAGCAAATAAAAAAATGCAGTTGAACATCTTACGCTCAAGCGTAAGATGTTCAAGCCACTGCATTTTTCATCGTCATAAAATCACCGCTGTAAAATCTATCAGTAAATTGGTAAAAGGACATTTTAGAGTATTCAAGTCGAAGTATATTTGAGGCCAACCGTTTATTTCATCAAAAACGTTTGTTCCATTAAGAGCATTGCTTTTATGTCAATATATTACTTTTAAGCAATTTAAAAAATTATGAATAGTTAAAGCAGTTTTTTATAGGGGTTAATATAAGTTATAAATATGATATAATAAATAAACCTGAATTTTCTAATTCCGTCTTCTACATTTGATCACTTGCTTCTTATTTATGTATAGCTAAAATTAAAAATTGATTTAAGAGCCACAAGTAACAGTTGTATAAGTGCTAAAAACGAAAGCAAAAGATAGACAGTGATAACAAAGTTAATCTTATATTAAAAAGATCAAAAAGTTTAATCTCCGCTGAGCAATATAAATGGAGTTGCGACTACAAAAACGCATTTATTTTTTTTTATATATATATATATATATTCTCGAGTAAAGTTAATGACATACAATATTCTCAGATTATTTTATCATTTTTAAATTAACTACTATTTCAAAGAATGCAACTCCTGATGATCATTTAAGATTATAAACATAATATAAATGTAAATTAGGTTTACATTTCACTAATTTTTTAAGCAAACGTAAAAGAAGGTATTATCGCATAAAAAAGGTCAAATGAATAGCATTTAGTGATAGATTAACAAGTAAGAATGGTCTCCACTTGGATTTTATACCTAATTCGAACTTTATGACTCATAAGAGCTTTGAACATAAAAGCTTATTCTAAAATCCTAAAATCTAATTATACTCTCGCGGAAAGTGTGGAGTTTTCCTTCACACCAGTGTGTTGCTATCACTCCTAGACACAAATATGGAGTTGTTTTGCACACTTTTGTGGAAATTAACTTTTTCTAATTCGACTTCTACACAGAAGTGCGGAGTTATTTGCACAAAATTGTGCAAAATAACTCCACACTTGTGTCTAGGAGTGACAGGGCCGACAGTGCCGTTTTTGACTTTTGAAATACCTAACTTCCAGACATTGTGCAAACTCCAAACATTTATATGTTTATACTTAAGTCAAGTAAAGATGCTTTTGCAAAAAATTGCGATGGTTGGAGCCTAGGGAAAAAAAAAAACCTTAACTTGTGCCCTCCTGCCCCAAACGTGAGAGCAACCATTTGAGAAAATATTTTTTCTACTATTCTTAACTAGATTTATATTCATCAATAAATTTTAAGTTTCATAGTATAATCTCTTAGCGTTCAAAAATTATGTCAATATAAAATTTGTAACCCCCTCAAATTAAGGGGGGTCAAAACTTTATATTGTCATATTTTTTGAACGCTAAAATATTTTACTATGAAATTAAAAAATTATCGATTAATATTGGTCTAGTTAAAAATAGTACAAAAAATATTTTATCAACTGGTTGCTCTCACGTTTGGGGCTGGGGAGGACAAATTTTTGGGCTTTTTTGTTCCCAGGCTCCAATCATCGCAATTTTTTGCAAAGCATCCTTATTTGACATAAGTATAAATATATAAATGTTTGGAGTTTGCACAGTTTCTGGAAGTTAGGTATTTCTAACGCTAAAAAACGGCACCGTCGGCCTTGAGTGATAGCTACACACCGGTGTGGAGGAAAACTCCACACTTTCAGCTGGTGTGTACAAGTTACAGTTTCAAAAGCTTGCCTATAACGAAAAAATATTAAAACTTCCATTAGTAAAATTTTTTATAAAAAACCCAAAGATGTAAATGATACATTTTAAAATGAAAAGCTTTTTTTTTTAGCAATTTATTAAAATAATTATATTAATTACAATTAAACAATCGAAAATGAAACAAATATTTTTGTATAATGATAATGGGTATTTTGAATAATGTTATAACAAAGTGATAAGTTTTGTTGCAAGAACTTTATATAATATTACAATATAATTAAATAAGCTTGTGTATACATAAATATCTTCTTATATACAGATTATACTTATAAATAAAGCTATAAAAATAATTCAGCTGTAAATAAAAACAGTGTTTACCAAGCAGATTTATTAATAAATATTGCTTGTACGCCGATAACAATATAAGTATTACACTTAATTTTTCCGAGGTTGAGCCGAAGTTATTTCAAAATGACATAAAAAAAATTATTGAAAAAATCTTGATGCATGGTCATATGATTTGAAATTAGGGTTGAATTTCCAGAAATGTTAAAAAAATGCACTTTGGTGCAAGTAATAAAAGATACCCTTGTTTTATAAAAAATGATGGCAAACTGAAATAAATAGAAAATTTACTAAATGGTAGCAAAAAGTATAAATATGAAATATAAGCGCCTAAAAAATTTAGGCGCTTATATTTCAAATGATTTGAAATAGGAAAGACTAGTAAAAAGTGTTAAAAAAAGCTAGAAATATTTACTAACACAGTAAAGATAAACATCTCATAAAGTTGCTTTAATGCTTGTACGTTAAACCACGTTTGTAGTTTGCAATTCAAACTTGATACCCCTATGATATAAAAAATATCATAGGGGCCAAAGAAAGCATGAAGATCACTACTGCTGAGAAAGCTACTTTGGTTGTGGCTACAACCCTCTCTCAACTCTCTCAAAATTTCGAAACACGAACCTTGGCGAACAAGGCCGCTGCGCGGAGAAACAAGTTGAGCGCAGTACTACCAGAGACGTTTTGGGGATCGAACTTAGAACTTCTCGAATATGAGGCAAGCGCTCAAACACTACACTACTATCGCATAGCAACATACTGTTGCTATATCTTGAGCGGATCTTCCAATAATGCCCTTTCTCTTTTAGACAAGTTGCAAAAACGCATTGTAAACATAGTTGGACCTGCTCTTACAGCCAACTTCCAACCATTATCACATTGTCGTAATGTTGCTTCTCTTTCTCTTTTCTACAAATACTATAACGGGCACTGATCTAAAGATCTAATATCTCTTATGCCATCTACTAAAGTTCATTCTCGTGTTACTCTTCATTCAATTAAGTTTCATCTTTTTATTGTGGCAGTTCCTAAGTGCTCCAAAAACTCTTAATCGTCTAGTTTTTTTCCTCGAACATCAATTATTTGGAATTCGCTTCCTTCATTTTGTTTTCCTGATTCATATAATTTGTCAATCAATAATTTGTTAATCGTCTGTCAATCGTTATCTTGCTCTATAAAATTCATCTTTTCTCTTCTAGTAACTTCCAACTCTAATAGTGGTTGCTTGCAGCCTTGTTGGAAGCGAAGATAATCAAAAAAAAAAATCTGGGATATAATCAAAGAATTAAAACATTAGACTTTAGAAATACGGAGACTAAAAAGAGACCTTATTCAACAATGTAAACCATACAAAAGCCTATTAATATTCCTATTGATACAAAGAAAGTTCAAATACAAATCCATTCGATTAGTACATTATCCCCAGCCTCCAGTATATGAGGTTTCAAACATCGTTTCACATTTGAATTTGTTAAAATTTAAGTAGACTTTTTAACAGATTGATTAAGTAGCACTACTTTACATTGGTTGTTTTGGATGGAATAATTTATTAGAATGGGTATTGGAGTTAAGCTAAAATTTTCAAATCTAACCTTAAACTGATTGATTTACAAATAATGCAAAACAAGGAACATAAATTGGCTAAAAATTTGTAGATATCAATTGTATTGGCTGTGATTTTCATATTGTTTTTTTAATGTTATTATATGGTATATTATATATTATATATTTTTTTAAAGTACAATATATTTATATATATTGCCACAGATAAAATAAACTTTAAAATTATTAGTTTCACAAGGCCAACATGGACTTTTCTTGTAATAAGTTACTGAGTTTTGTGTTGCCACTATTCTAAACTAATAAATCACATTCGTTAACTTCGTTTAATAATACTTTATTTTTAAATTTGATAAGCAAGACAAAAAAGCTGTAAACGGCAAAAAAGTTTCAACATAAAAATTATAAAGTAAAAAACAGCCTAATTATAAACAATTGCAAAAAGGAATTTAAAAATTTAAAATCAGTTTTTACAAAGTGTTAAAATTTTGAAACCACTAAAGATATTTTGATTAGGAATGTACCAGAATTCCGTTCCAAATTTGTGACTTTTAGATCGTTCGGCCGGAATTATAATACTTCATTCTGGAATGCCGGAAGTTATTTTTTAATTTTTTTAAGACATGTGACACAGACTGTGTAAATTAAATCAAAAAATCATTGTTCTACAGGGCGCAATGAAGAACTATAGGTAAACCTAGGTAAAAAATACCAAATTCTCAACAAACACAATGTAACTTAATGTAAAGCTACAGTTAAGCTGTCCAAAAAAATTTTACTTTTTCGATTATTGCAACCTCGTCAGTGGAGGGTTTTTAAACACAAGAAAAAAATTGCTGCCCTGTGCCAAACCCTCAGTCTATGTAAAATGATGAAAAAAAAACAACCCTTCTTTGAATTTGAATTCTTCTTATTTATTAATTTATTTTAATTTCTTTTTGTTGAATAAATATCTTTGATTGTGAACTAATATATATATATATATATATATATATATATATATATATATATATATATATATATATATATATATATATATATATATATATATATATATATATATATATATATATATATATATGTATATATATATATATATATATATATATATATATATATATATATATATATATATATATATATATATATATATATATATATATATATAAACTCTTGCTTAAACCATTTCACAGTTCACTTTTAATGAACGAAATTAATAACTAATTAAATATTAGGTCCTTATTTACTAAATTTAGGATGAGTGCTAATATGAGATTTGCGCTTCTTGTGAAAGTCATATTTTTACATTTGGTTGCTATGGATACCTAATTTTGCTTAGTAACAACTTATTTTTTAATAGATGTAGATGTTTATGTGCGTTATTACCATTATAATTAGTTTGTGCATTAATTTGAGGTTTACTCTTCTTATGAGGAGGATATTTATTTTTTGGTTGCTATGGTTACTTAGTTTTATCGATATCTAATTACATAGCAACAACCTATTTTGATAGTTGCAGATTTTTTAATGAGTGCTATATTCACTAAATTTGACAAGATTACTAATAGAAGGTCATTCTATATATGGAAGTCATAATTTTTTTTTAGTTTAGTTGTTATGGATACCTATAATCCTTAACAATTAGGTACTTTCCTTAGTTACACAAATATAAATAAATTTTTTGATTAAATTTTTATCGGAATTTCAACCGTCCTAATTTAAGTAACTATCAAATATTAGATATTTAGGTAATTAATTTTAGATAAAGATTTAGGTTGTTAATAATAAAAACAAAGTA